AAGAAAATAAGCAATAGAGAAAAGCTACAAGCTAAAAGTTGATGCTTTGAAAATATATGTAAAATTTGTAAGCCTTTTCAAGATGATCAACCTATTATAGAAAGAGAAAAAAATTAACAGTATCAGGAATGAAAAAGAATCTATGTCACCAGAGAGTCTAACAATATTTTTTAAAGTAATTAAGGGGTATTATGAACAATCTCTCAGAAGTACATTTGACAACCTAAATGATATGAAGTCCTTGGAATTGACAATATACCAAAATTGTTACCCAAAAAATTAGGAAGTCTGAATAGCCTTATACCTGTTGAGGGAATTTAATTTTTAATTAAGAAATTTCCTACAAATAAAACTAGACTTGTGAATTTTACCCAACATCTAAAGAAGAAATAATATCAATCTTACATAGATTCTTTCAGAGGCTAGAGTAGGGTTTCTCAGCCTTGGCACTATCGACATTTCAAATCACACAATAATATTTTGTTGGGGAGTTATGTGTATTGCAGGTTGTTTAACAGCATCCCTGTCTTCACCCATTAGATGCCAGTAGCATCCCACCCCCACTTTGTGACAATCAAAAACCTCTGCAGACATTGTTAAATATCCTCTATATAACAAAATGTCCTCTAGAGAACTATTGGACTAGAGGAACAAAGAACTTACCCAACTCCTTTTGTGAGACCTAAACCGGGTAAAAGAAGTAGAAGAAAAGAAAATGGCAAAGTGATCTCCCTCATGAACATAAATGCAAAACAAAAAAGTTTCTTAACAAAATATTAGCAAATTAAGTCCAGGAATATATGAAAAGGATAATCCAGTTTAATCAAGTACAATTTATAACAGGAAAGCAAAATTGTTTTAACATTTGAAAATCAATGTGATCTGCTATATTAACATAATAAAAGAAATCCAGTGTCTCAAGTAGATGCAGAAAAAGCATTTAACATAGCTCTTCCATTGCTCATACATTATAAGGAGAAAAAAATGGCCTGTCATTAAACTAGAAAGCTGATAGAGGATATGGACAAAGATCATCTATTTAGTGATGAACACTTTTAGGAATAAGAAAGAATGTCCATACTTAGTACTTATATTTACATTGTACTGGAGGTCCTAGCTAGTGTGATCAGGCATAAAAAAATATTAGAAAGAAAAAAGTAAAACTGTCTTTATTCTAAAATAGCATGACTGTACACGTGGAAATATCCTAAAGAACCTACAGAAACAATTACTAGAATTATTAAGTGTATTTAACATACTCACAGGATTCGAGTTAAAATTCAACATACAAAAATCAATTTTATTTCTATATAATGCAATTAGCTGTCATATAGCAATAGATAGAAAATAACAATTAGAATAGAAAATTTACAGCAACATAAGAAGTCATCAAATACCTAGGAATAACTTAACAAGAAATGTACAAAATCTCTACATTGATCACTATAAAATACTGCTGAGATAAATTCAAGAAAACTTAATAAAAGGACAGAAAGATATACCATGATCCTAAATTGGAAAACTCAATATTGTGAAGATACAAATTTTTTCTGAATTGAAGATTAGATTCAATGCAATTTTAGTCAAAATACCAGCTACTATTATAGAAATTGGCAAACATTCTAAAATTTATATAGAAATATGAAGGGCTTAGAATAGCAAAAACAGTCTTTGCTATTTTAGAAGAGTGAATTGAAAAACTTGTGAACCTAAGTTTTGGTATGTTAACTAAAGTTATATAATCAAGACAGGTTGTTATTCACATTAACATAGATAAATAGGTCAGTGGAACAGAATAGAGTCCAGAAATAGACCCAAACAGTCATATGTTCAATTGCTTTTTGACAAAGGTATCAAGCAAGTCTATGGAAAAAGTATCAAACAAGTCTTCCAAAAAAATAATACTGGATATACTAGATATAGATATGGGGAAAAAATGAACCTTGAGTCCTACTTCTCATCATACCCCAAAACTAATGGAGCCTGATCCACAGAAGAGGGCAGCTTGGCACAGAATATCGGAGCTTGTGTGGGGTAGGGAGGACTTTCCTCCTGGGGACCTTATTGGTGTTGGAGCTTGAACCTTGACCAGTATACTGCACCCTCCCAATAAAATCCTAACCCAGGATCAAGCTCTCAGGCTGCTTTCTCTAGTTTTACATCTATAACACCTGAGTCTTGACACAAATTTATGATTTCTAATCATTAGACCTTAAACTTTGCAGGATAGTTTTTTCCTTGTTCTTGGTCATTTTTATCTTGAATTCCCTCAATACGAATTCCAGTTCTTCACTTCTCTCCTCAATACCCATTTCTTTCACTCACAAGAATGAATTTACCTCCTGCTTCACTGAGAACACTGAAAGTGAAGTATGTACTTCCTCAACTCCGTCCCAACCCCACCACTGTTAAGTCAGCCAGCCAAGTACCAAAACACTATAGAATTATTGATCCAAATGCTTTCTTAAAATATCTTCCCAAATGTTTTATAAGTAACTCAGCCTACATTTAACTTCTCCCACATTCCCAATCTTTCCTCTCTGTATTGCCTATGCCCCCATAATTCTGCCAGTCATTCTCACTACCTTTTCCCTTCATTTTTCACATTCAAATACTCGTCAACTCCTGACTTTAAATCCTAAATATGGTTTTTAAACCATCTCTCTTCATTTTATATGACTGCTTCTCCATCCCAACCCTCTATCATAGTGTTTTTTTTTATTGATTCTTCTATTGAATATTTGCCTTCAGTTTTCCCGTTACAAATAATCCTGCAATGACTGTCCTTGAACAAATATCCTCATGTTGTTGTTAATGTAATTCCATATGATAACTTCTTAAAAGCAGAATCTTAAGAGGTAGGTGCATAAAATGCTCTACCAATTTGCAGTTCCTCCTGTAATGTATTACAGCGCTCTTGTCCCTGCACCCTCACTGACACTGAGTATTATACTCCCCCCTTAAGGGAGGAGTTTCTGGTTTTAGGTTTAGGTCTTGATTTTTAATGGAAAGTCTGATCGTGTCTGTAATCCTAGGAAAGAATCCAGTTGAGAGGAGGAGTTTGTAAATTATAAGAAAAGGAGATAACTGAAAGGCTCTAGTCACAGAGGGTATAGGTCAGCGATATCAAGATTATGAATAAAAGGTGTGATTTTCTTCTGAGACACTAACAGAGGGATAGTAGATAGGTAAAGATGGAAATAAATGCAAAGGAAATAAGAAAAATTTTATAGTCATCTTTATTTTAAAGAAATTAGAAGCCAAGTCCCCTGTTGAGATAGAGGATCTGGTTTATTTGAGAGAGAGTGCAGGAGCACAAGCACTCTCTCTTTCAAATACATAAAATCTTTAAAGAAAGAAAAAGAACAAGCAGAGATGGGGGCACCTGGGTAGCTCAGTCAATTAAGTGTCTGACTCTTGATTTGCACTCAGGTTGTGATCTCAGGGTTGTGGGATCAATAGAGCCCCACTGCAGGATCCATGCTTGGTGGGGAGTCTGCTTGGGATTCTTTCTTTCCCTAACCATTTCTCCCTCCTTCTGCCCCTCCCCAGCACCCCCCCAACTCATGCATGCTGTCTCGAAAGAAAGAGAGAAAGAAGGGAAGAGAGGAAGGAAGAAAAGAAAAGAGAAAAGAAAAAATAAAAGGCAGAGATGTAGTCCTTGGATTTGCCTACATCTAGAGCTTCTAGGTTAAAGTAAAATTATCTTACATTCACAGTGAGGTAGTTTTATTCTCTTTCTTTTCCTTTCCCATGAATAGAAGTTATATGAGTTAAGATATACATCCACTGGTTAGTCCACATGGGAAAATGATCCCTGAGTTCTGTTATTAAAAAAAAAAATTTTTTTAAGAGTATAAATTTAATATACTGCATTATACCCATATAAAGCCATACCACTAGTAGTTATTGTTTCTTTATATCACTCCAAACATAAAGCCACTTAATGTCTTGATTTTTATTAGAAAATTATGATATGAGCAAACATTATTAAAAATTCTGATCAACATAAACTAGAAGCCCAATGACTTAGATGGGTTTACATGATTTGAATCCTGGTCAAGAGCCCTGAGATTAGCAATGGATCCAGTAATACTTTGTCAACTTATTCAACTTATATACTTATATTCTTATATTCAACTTCTGGAGTTCAAATACCTTAATATTTAGACTCTACTTTTTGATTAAATGTCTTCTCTCTTTTTTTTTTTTTCACTTTAACTCTTACATTGTTTTTGGGCATGGGGAAGACACCAAAGTTTCATGAGTCTGTGGTGAATTTAAGTGTAAAGGAAGAGGCTGGTAGAATAGTAAGGAATATACATCATTGGGACACTTCTTCCTAAAAAATAAAATGTTACAAGAGGAAATGTGTTAATGGTGGGAACACAGTTTATTAGAGAGAAAAACATAGGCACGTGTGTTTATTTTCATTAAAATTCCTTTTACTCCATACTTGCCTTGTTGACTTTGTAATGAACTTATGTGAGGACAGAGACCAGCTATTCCACATGCACCATTGGACTGCTCTGCACATACCCTGGGCACATAATAAATACTGTAACAATTGAAAATGAGAAACACAAATGCATTTTGAAGCAAATTGGTGATATTTTAATCCCTACTGTTCAATTTTAGTACTTGGAAACATTTTAGTTATGCAAGTCTTGTTTTAGCGTACTTTTTATTTCTACAGATATTCTGGTTCTTAGTCATACTCTGTGGCTTTATTAGCAGTTTCATGGGTCTGAGTCTCATTTCCCCAACTCCAAATATAAGCTTTTTGAGGATAAATACCATTTCTTCTCTAAAATTATTGTGGCAAGATACAAAATAGACCTTCGGTAAATTATTCAAATTATACTTCAATAAAAAATAAGAAAAAGAAGTTCTTGCTGCCGTGAATTGCATTTCAACTCATGCTGAATTTATATGCCTTTATATGATCATGTACCCCCCGTCTGTGCTCTCTACAGCTCATTCATGTTTATTCTTTTCAGTTTATTGAAGTCAAAATGTGATGGGTGGCTGCTGGGAGCATCATCGTCCATCAAAAAACACCAAGAGTCCACTAACAGCAGTGAGAATAGAAGAGAGAAGAAGTCAGTTGGGTTTCAATCACATACAGAAGATGATACCCTATGGACATGTCAAAAGAGAGATACATATCGACCCCAAAGAGGTAAGTTTAGCATTTATACGTAGCAAAAGGAGAAGCTCTTCTGGGGCCACTTGTTGCTGGTGGGTGCAAGCCATGAACTCCAGATGATTTTTATCACCCCGAACAAAAGTTAAGTCTATTACCAATTGATGTGTGTCTGCAAGGCCACAGGTGGCACATCTGCTACATCACTGAATCACATCAGCCTTTCTCTTAGAATACTCTTATAAGCAACTGTCCAATTTGTCCCTCTTTGCAAGCAGCAAACCGTAAGGCTGATTTAATAGTAAGTATGGTTATAGGCATAAAATAATGTTCAAAGTGAGTAAAGAGGACCGGAAATTAAATGTAAATTTCTGCTGGGAGCGTAAATTCTAGCAACTATAGTTAATCCTCGATTAACTAGAAATATGGAAAGGGTGAAGGAGAGGTCATAGACAATTCTACTTTGTAGCTGAAATGAAACTTCGTAAGTCTGAAACATGTATTGCCTAGCAGTCTTTTAAATGCCAGTAATTCTTCCTACTTTAGATGTCGCAGATTTTTTTTTTTAGATTTTATTTTTAAGTAAACTCTATACCCAACATGGGGCTTGAACTCACCACCTCAAGATCGAGTCACACACTCCACCAGCTGAGCCAGCTAGGCACCCAAATGTCATAGATATTTTAAAAGAAATCAATTATAAAATAACTGAAATGTTGAGCGAAGTGGTCAAAATTTAGTCGTGTTTCCTCATTGTTTCTGGAATGGCTTATGGCTTCACCTCTCCTGAAATTATCAAGAGAAGGACTTCCCAGCAGAAACAGCCAGTCCAAGCTTCCTTGTGCAGAGATGTGCAGGCAAGAGAGGGCCACAAGAAGTCCGGGAACCCCCTCTGCTCACACCTTTTCCCCAAATATCTCTCTTACCTGCTCACAACCATTAACCCTGGCTTCCTTCTTTTTTTTTTTTAATTTATATTTTAGGTAATTAATGTACAGTGCAGTACGATTCATCAGTTCCATACAACATCTGGCGCTCATCACAAGTGCCCTCCTTTCATGCCCATCAACCATCCAGCCCATCCCTCTGCCTATCTCCCTCCATCAACCCCATTTGTTCTCTCTCCTTAGGAGTCACTTATAGCTTGTTTACTCTCTTCTTTACCCCCCTTATGTTTGTCTGTTTTCTTTCTTAAATTCCACACATGAGTGAGATCATGTGGTATTTGTCTTAGTCTGACTGACTGTCTTCACTTTGCATAACATCCTCTAGTTCCATCCACATATCTACCTCTTTTTTTTTTTTACTGGACTGGTACCTGCCCTATTCTGGTACTAAGCAACCAACTTTCCATAATTTCCCTGGCCACTCTTACATTCATTTGTTTGAAAAATGGGCAGCAGTTCAATAGAAGATCTCATCCCCCACCGCCTGTGTCATGATTTTTAGTTTTAACTATGATTAATCTAGAAGTTGTTTAATCTTTTTCCAAATAACTGAGAGATGATAATTAGTCCAAGATTCAGAAAAGGAACTATCCACATCTTGAAAAGCAGGTACATGTTTTTTTTTGACATAAGGCAGAAGTTCTGCAGACCTCCATTGCCTTAGAACAACTTAGAACAACTTTTGTCTTTGTAGACTCTGCTACCAGAAACAAAAATGAGATTGAGGAGACTTCATCTCTGAGATAGAATCTTCTTTATTTTCTCTGTGAGTCCTTGAGAGATGGGGAACTTGTATTTTCTTCTTAGTCACTGCACTTTGGAGAATAGAGGAACAATCAAAACTGGTGTGTGTGGTGGTTACCCTGCAAGTCTTAACATAGTTTTCTGTTAACTTGTCAACAAATTTGTGTTGTGTGCCAGCACGAAAATAAAATGGCAAAATGAGAAAAATGGAGTGTAATAGCAAAGGGACAAATGGCTTGTGTTATTGGTTAAGACCACAGCTGCATTAGAAGGCTGCAGTTGAAAAGGCACTTTGAGAAAGGTAACATCAGGCCAGCCCTTACAGTGGTGGAGGTTAATCTCTCCCGGGCCCAGCTACGGAAGCTATAAGCCTGGAAAGGGCTTGTGTCCAAAAAAAATCAATTTCTAATTTGAAACAAAATCATTTTTGACTAACAGGGGTTCAGAACCCATTACTTTTTGCTGTATAGTCTGCTGACATTTCAGCACTTTCTGTTGTGCACAATGAATCCTAATAGTCATTTTATAATGTTGCTATACCAATCAATTTAACCAAGACAAAGCTGTTACAATTCTGCAAAGTTTTCAGGAACAGTTTTCACTCACGGTTTTATTTTTTTCGTTAGCTTTTTTCCTTTGTGTGTGTGTTCGGGGGGTGAGGTTGTTTTGTTGCAGTGGAAAAAAAATAAACTTTCTCATTTTTTTGAGAGTTTTGTTTTAAGGTGTTCACAGGAATTAACTTTTTTTTTCTACTTATAAGATTATCATGTAAGGAGTGTCTGGATGGTTCAGTCAGTTAAGTGTCCAACTCTCCAAGTCAGCTTGGGTCATGATCTCAGGGTCATGAGATCAAGCCCCGAGTCAAGCCCTGCACTGAGCATGGAGCCTGCTTAAGATTTTCTCTCTGCTTCTCCCTCTCTCCTGTGACCCTCCCGGTCCCATTCATGCACATGCACTCCATCTCTCTCTTTAAAAAAAAAAAAAAAAAAGAGGATCGTCATGTATTTTTCTCTTCTTTTATTCTGATATGGAGCCATTGCCAAATTACAGTATAGCTGATCATTGAGGAGCTGCAGCTGCCCGTCTGAGTCCTTCTGCTCATGGCAGTGCTGGTATGCGCAGATCACACAACAGAGCATTACAACAGCGACCTTTTCCAGTGGCTCACAGCCAGATGGGAGACCGGCTTTACAAGTGTGCTGCAAGGGGTTTGGACACCCTGTGTAACGTTAAGACCGGTAACCTAGCACTAATTGCCTCAGTCACACTGCTTGGTTTAGTGGCTCCTTAATTGCTTTCCCTTCTTTAGTGTGTCTAATTTTTTTAACCTACTTTTCTTCTTCGTTTCTTTTGTTGTCTTTAATCATTAAGTACCACGTAGGATGTTTACTGCAGGACCATTAATCTTTATTATCCATCCCTTACTCCTCTACCTTTTCTGTCCTCCTCATCATTCTGTCAACTTTATTGATACTAAATATATAAAGAAAGACCTGACTCTTAAGAAAAGACCTTTGTGGGGATGGGCGTTGGGGGGCGAGTAGAAGGGAGGAATAGGGTGGCTGGGTGATGGACATTGGGGAGCGTATGTTCTATGGTGAGTGCTGTGAATTGTGTGAGACTGATGACTCACAGACCCATACCTCTGAAGCAGATAATACATTATGTGTTAATTTAAAAAAAAAGAAAGAAAGAAAGAAAGAAACAACCTTGAGATCACAACAATGTGTACAGTTTTGTCAGAATCATGCTTAAAATATAATTTGTTTTTCAATCATCAGTGTTTGGTATATTCTATTTTAGTTACCTTTATTGAGCTATGTGGAACCAGGAGAAATTACTTAGGAAAATCTAAACTTGAGTCAAGAACTTTTAAGCCAAAGGCACAAATCTGGAAACAACACTGTTCATTCCTTTTTTCCTCCCTACCCAGTGGTGGTTGTTTTTTTGTTTTTGTTTCCCTCTCCCAGCTTGCCTCCAACCACCCTTTTCTTATCAATCACCGATTCCCTTTCATAAGAGCCCTCCAAGCTGAGGGCATTTTTTTTCTCTGTGATGCTGACAGGCTAGCAGAGGCCATGAGGACACTGAGCAGACATGTTCCAGAATCGAAATGTTAGACCTCAGGACTTGGCATTGTCCATTTCTAAGCGAGACTGCAAAGCCATCCCAAAGCATCCTGCTACAGTTAGAGCTATGCCTGTTGGTTCCTTCTCCATGGATCTATGAGTCTTCTTAAAACTTCAAGAGAGGCTAAACCTAAAGTAATTTGGATTTAACTGATGGCATTGACCATGCCCCCCACTTTGACTTTGGGCTTTTTTCGGCTATATAATATACAGCAGCTATCACTGGTTGACGGCCCCTGAGGGGCTCCGAAACACATTTTTCTTTTACTAGAAGAGGATTATTATAGACACATCTGAAATGAGAAATAATCTTGAAACTCCTAGTTGTTCCTCTAAATAAGCCTGTGCTTGCAATGATACAAAATGTTCTTTGTAGTCCATGATGGATTAATATAGGTGATGATGTTAAAGAAATAAACAAGTTGGAGTATCCAAAGTTTAGAAGGCAGTTCCACTTTGCCTCTAAAGAACCCTTATTTGTTTCTTTTATTATTAATATCATAATCATTGTTGTATGTTTAATCATTAGAAAAGGTATCACAAGATATTACTTCTGATTCTGAGAACTCTGAGCTAAAAGATTTATTAAAAGTTGATGCCTTTATCAACAGAACACAGAAGAAAGGAATAGTGCTATGCGTAAAGCCAGATATGTAGATGAAATTGTCCTGCTCATTCCCCCCCTTTTTTTTTTAAGATTTTATTTATTTATTTGACAGAGAGAGATCACAAGTAGGCAGAGAGGCAGGCAGAGAGAGAGGGGGAAACAGGCTCCCCGCCAAGCAGAGAGCCTGATGCGGGTCTCGATCCCAGGACCTCGGGACCATGACCTGAGCTGAAGGCAGAGGATCAACCCATTGAGCCACCCAGACGCCCCTGCTCAGTCCCTTTTAAAAAGGAATTCAAGGAACGCCTGTGTGGCTCAGCCAGTTAAGCCACTGCCTTCAGCTCAGGTCATGAGCCCAGGGTGCTGGGATCGAGTCCCACGTTGGGCTCCTTGTTCAGCGGGGGGCCTGCTTCTCTCTCTGCCTCTGCCTGCAGCTCTGCTTGCTTGTGCGTGCACGTGCTCTCTCTCTCTCTCTCTCTGACAAATAAATAAATAAATAAAATCTTAAAAAAAAAAAAAGGAATTCAGATGCAAGAGACCAGCATTAAGAGTTGAAGTTGCTGTATATGAAATATTTTCCCTTAAACCAGAACCTCTACATTTCCCATT